CTGAGCAAGAGAAGGTCGGGGCATTGATGAAGGTTGGGGACCAAAACCAGTGGGAGGGCGCCAAGATCGAGAGGTATGTTGTGTTGCATAAGCCGAAATAGGAGGATCTGAGAGATGTATGGCAGCAAGGTCGACATCAAGACTCAACAGTTTCTCATGTAACTCGACAAATGAGATCGGAGTGTCTCGAGCATGTACGACGTCTTTGATAGTCTTGTACTCATCACCGAGGCCAGCGAGAATTAGATCAATGAGATCCTCATGATCCATAGGTTTGCCGAGAAGTGCAAGCTCGTCCGCTTTAATCTTGAAGAAGTTCATGTAGTCATTGACGGTTTTGGTGCCTTTTGTATGGCGCCGCATCTGGTCTTTGAGTTGTTTGATGTGGCCACGGCTAGATCGGCCATAAGTTTGGGCTAGAGTAGCCCATGCATCTGCGGCAGAGGTGGTCGATACTACGAGAGCTTGACAGGGACTTGAGATCGCACCGAGGAGAGCCGAGAAAACAAGACGGTCCTGACGAAACCACGACTTATAGGTCGGGTTAGGAGATAGTACATTGTTGGTGATGATAGTGGTAGCCGGCACTTTGGCCGCATCGAGGAAGTCTTCGAGATTGTATCCTTGGAGTAAGGCACGAAGTTGAATACTCCATGTCAAGTAGTTCATGGCCGTGAGTTTCGAAACATTCGAAACATTGACGTTAATCAACGTCGAGCTCGGATTGTCGGAGTCAAAGATCGTGACCGTGTCGCTCGGGAGACCGGCAGAGCTAGAAGGAGAGTCGGAAGAGGCCATAGCGTAAAGAGAAGATCGGCGACGTGCGTGATAGCCGAAGGAGGAAAAAAAAAAGTTTCGAAGGAGAAAAAAAAATGTCTTTTGACTTAAGCTCTTGATACCATGATATAATTTGGTTTATAAGAATGTGATTGAATGAATTTATGATGAGGATTACATCTCATATATATACAATGCATAAAAGACATAATGACATAAAACATGGAAGAAAACATGGAAGAGACATGGAGGAAAACATGGAGGAAAACATGGAGGAAATTAAGTATAAATAGTGGCATAATTTTAGGAAAATAATTGTAATAGATAATAATAATATATCAATATACTAACATGAATCACATGGACCACACTACGCTTAACTCTGATCACTAACTGCGCATGTCATTTTTCCCCGAGGCCAATAGGTTAGGCAGCTCTGATACTGGTAATCTACTTACTTTGCTTCGCTTGTTGCGGTTTATATACTTGAATGAGTTGAATTCTGCATGTAAAAGTATCTGTCATTCTAGGTTTCCAAAATTAGAGATACTTCAAGATATTTAACTTCATATTAGGGAAATTTTGTCTTAGAAGGAATCCTTTTGAATGGTTAGAAATTTACTGTCAGGTTGATAAGGGTTTTGCTCTATCGGCCTCGGAATGCTTGATTGCTTGCGCATGCACCAAGGGGGTGGTCCACCTCTTCACTCTTGAGTCTTTAGATTTTGCTGGCACCATACGGCATTCAGAGGCTAAAACTAGTGATGTCGAAAATCATACTCAATTAGCGAAAGTAAAAAATACCGAATGTCAACCCGCCTGCTCTCCAGATGCAGTTGCTTGTCAGTTTTCAAGCAAGGAGAAGCTGGGTTAGTACAAAAGTATTTTCTCTACGTTATGATCCTCCAACCTTATCAGTTATCACTCTTGACATAATGTAGAATATATTTTGCCTTCGCAGTTGTCATCTATGGAGATCATAGCCTCTTTGTCTGGGACGTGAAGGATGTGAACAGGGTAATTCTTCCACAAACAATTTTTCATTTAAGAATTTCTTGATTCTTAAAACTCTTCAACGGAACTACGTGCTAATTGATGCCAATGTCTACTTTGAGAGTTCCTTTCTGGAGCTTATGGCACCAAATGGATGTATTGAAACTTTTCTTTCTCTTCACAGCCCACTAGGTACTCTAAGATGATATCACATTCAGCATGCATATGGGATATAAAGAATCTCTCTTGCGGAAACATGCACAGCCCAACGGCTGCATGTGCAGTTAGGGGTTGTTCTGGTGAGGTTTCCTTTGCTACATGCTCCGAAGATGGCACCATTAGGTTATGGGATCTTGCTCTCCATCTGGGTCCTTTAGAAGTCACTGCAACCAGTAAATCTTCAGATTCCGAGATACAAGGGACCATGCATTTAGGTAATCATCAGATATGTTTAGAATTTCAACGGCATATATGAGTCCACATGTACTATCCAGTTGTTTCATTTATTATCTTAGTAAATTTGTCTGTCCAGATTGATTTGATTTTTCTTCTGTTTCTTCTTTTGTCGTTACAACAGCTAGTGCTGGGATATTTGAACGTGATCTCATGGAGACAGGAGCTCCCATGTTTGGTTTTCGGTCACTAGCAGCAAGTGAAGATGGGAAGTACTTAGCAGCTGGTGACCGTGTAGGAAATCTTCATATGTATGATCTACAGGAATCAGAATATATGTGCTTTATGGTAATACTGGTTATTTTTAAAACGAAAATACTAGTTTTTAAAACTTTAATTGATTATGGTTCTGTACTAGTCAATGGGCGAAAAATCAATGCATCTTATTGAGAACTATCTGCAGAATGCTCATGAAGCAGAGATTCAGTCACTGAGCTTCAGCTATCCCAGCCCAGAAGCTGTTGATTCTGGAAAGGCGCTGAACAGCCGTTACTTGCTAGCTTCTGGTGGAAAGGACCGAGCAATCCATATTTATGATGTCAAAAGGTCTCAGACAGCAACTTTTTGTATGATCTTTCTAAATCCTCCAATGTCTAATTCTAAACCAATTGATATGCTTTGCTTCTCAGAAATTTTGATCTCATCGAGAGTATTCATGAACATCAATCTGCGGTCACTTCTGTAAAATTTGCTTCTGATGGCTGCAAGATTATAACTTGTGGTGCGGATAGGTAATGTGCTTTCAGTCACAGATGTTGTAGTGGGGCCCTAGTGTTGATGGCTGCAAGATTCTAGAATGGCTTCTTTGAGAAATCTTTACTGAATCGAAATGGTTGATGTTGGTGTAGGTCCTTTGTATTTGATGCCACAGGAGGACCAAGAGGTTCAAGTGATTCACATTGTCATCCACAAACTCTATCTAATGGAACCTTCTATGATATGGCTGTAGACCCAACATCAGGAACCGTTGTCATCGTTGGGAAGGTACATTCACCTTTGTGGTGAAAGTTAACCGATATTACCATTGTCCTCGCAAGGGCCTTCACTCAAGTACCATGTGATACAGAATAACATAACAGCAGATTGAATTATGATGTGGCTTTTATAGGAACTAACTTCATTTCCGTGATTGTAGGATAAGAAAATAAATGTGTTCGGCATAGAAACTGGAAAGCTTGTCAGATCATTCAAGCAAGACAGAGATTATGGAGACCCAATAAAGGTGCTTAGAACAAGTCCTTCGATAAATGCTGGACTGCTACAGTATCCTAGTGTTGACAATTGGCAATGATTTGTTTTCCACAGGTTATTTTGGATCCAAGCTGTAGCTTCTTGGTCTGTTCCTATTCTAGCAAGATAATCTGTGTGTTTGACTTCATTACTGGAGAACTGGTTGCCCAAGCCGCAGGCCACAGTGAAGTTGTCACTGGCGTGATTTTCCTGCCTGATTGCAGACATATTGTTTCTGTAAGCTTTCGACTTCGTTTTCTTCTGCCTGATACCATGCTCTGCTGCTGGATAATTTTAATTCAACAAGGATATCTCAATCCTCCCACATTCTGTTACCATAACCAACTGATTTTTTTTTAAAAAAAAGAAAACTTGGAAAAGATATCTTGATATTCATGCTGTTTGTATTCTTAGGTTGGAGGCGATGGGTGTATTTTTGTCTGGAAAGTGCCTTGCCAAATGGCTACTAAGATGATGCAAACATTAAACGAAGATGCGGGTGCATTGTCTCCTAAAACACTGTCCCAACCAGCAACTTTTAGGCAAATAATGGTTTGTCTTCAGGAAGACATTCCAAAAGATGTGTCCTGTTCAATGAACTTTAAGCAAAGCTCCCCCTGGACATCTTCATTCAAGTTCAGTGTCTCTCGGCTTCCTAAGTGGGCTCAAGCAAAAGTGACAACCTCTGATAATGTCATCAAGAGTCAGGACTGTGGCTCAATCCAGGTACACAAGTCGTTGGCTCTCAGGAAAAAAAAAACAGTTTGCTTTCTGAATTCTGATTCTCAGAAAAGAGATGAGACTTTCTCCTCTAAATACATTTGTGGTCTAAATTTTTTAATCTTTACACACTTCCACAACAGGAACAAGAAGGAAATACTCTCCTAAATTCATTTGACAAAACTGAAGCTTATTCTTCTGGGAGTCTTGAATACTTAACTCCCAAGCATAGTTCAAGAAGCAATCAGTCATGCCTCAGCAGCTTGTCCAAAAGCTCTAGCACAACTTCAGCACTCCAAGAGGATGCTGACAGGTAAAAAGATTTGACCTTATTGCTTTTCGTCAATCTTAATCACCACATAAATTCACTCTATTTCGTATCATCACGTGTTCAAATTTTGTACAACCTGTGTTGACTCTTTTTTTTCCTCAGCAGTTATAACATGGATAAAAACCACTGGCGCACAGTCTATAATGTATGTTTGGATCTGCTGAATTCTCCTTCTAGCATCCAGCCATCAGTCATTTACAGCAGAACACAAGACCTGCCTAAGGTGCAACCTTACCATGAGACCACTGTTGATGAAACGTCTCAATTAAACGAACAAAGACAAGAAGCAGAGAACGACTCCATTGGGTATTCTGCAGGGCGAAGTGACACGTTCAAGCGGGTCTTTACCAGTTTATCAACAATAGACGAAGTGAGTTCTCCTCAATATCACCGTCCAAACGATCAGAAATCCTTAACACCCAAAGATGTGAAAAAAAAGTGCTTTCCTTAGCAATATGTGACACCATTTTCTCTGTTCATATGAAGGGTGAGAAATCTTCGCAGAGAAGGTACTCTTCCCAGTTTGTTCTGAGGAGAGACTATTTTGGCAACAGCAAGCAGCAACTCCATACCCCTTCCAAGAATCTAGGGTTTCAGACCTTGAGTTGGATCGAAGAACATAGCACTCATGCCACGGTAAAGGATCATCAGCCTGCAAAAAAGAATTCAGGACAGCCAAAACAGGTTTTCCGGTTATATGATATCAATCACACACACACAGCACTTGGACAAACACAAGCATGTTGCATGTTCATTATTTGATTTCTTTTACATTACTAATTATGGTAATTTAACATCCAATAACTGATTTTTGTTGCAGGAATTCATGAGTGAAGCAAGCACAGAAGATTCTTTTCAAGAACGAGTAAGTAAATGCCGTCAAGCCTTACAGATTTTGAATCTTGCAGCTGAGGATTTGTTCCAGTTACTGTCGGAACTATCTTCTGTTGCTCCACAAGATCAAATCTCTAGTGAATTAAGGGCCCATTTTTATGATGAAACTGGTAAGATGCTTCCAGACGTTTCTCAGAAAGTTGATGCAGTTGCCAATATCATCCTCCAGCATCGAAATCGCAGCTAAGTGACTTGACTTTTGTTCTTTTGTACAGTTCATCAATAACAAGAATCAGTTTTTATCAGAAAATAAAGATTTTAAAGAGCAACACTGTCGCTCCCCTCTGCATATCTTCATCTCTGCTTTAAGTTCATTATGTTAACTGGATGATTATCAAAATAAAACCCAGATAAATAAATTTTAGAATGAAATAGTTGGAAGATATAATATAACTGTACAAGGCACATATAAATAAATAAAAGAGAATAAAATCTCCTCATTTATATGGGGTTTTAGACCCATTAAAATAGTTTTATTTGATAGCTTGACGGATTCATTGTGAGCTTACATGGGCTCTTACGGCGTAAGGCTTGCAGTATTTGTTACGTTCATTGTTCAGCAGTCAAAAGAGTGAAAAAGAAAAACAAAAGCTATAAAAAAAAAAAAAAATTGAGACTACGATTGCGTTCCACGCGCCGCTTTTCTCATTTTTCGTAAAAACGGCCAAAAGTCCTGGACTAAAGTCCAGAGATTTTGAGCGGTGTCTGTCACGCGCTAACCTTGCGCGTGGGATTTTAAAACTCACGAAGCCAAGTTTTTGACTATTTTCAAAACCCTTCTGAACCCGACACTGACATTATTGGGCCATTGCACATAATGGGCCTACCAGAATTTGGACAATACTTATGAATGCCGAATTGTGTGGAAAAAATATAGTACATTTTTTAAAAAAATTTGATCACTCTTCGTGATAAAAAAGTTTGACAAAAAAATTGATATATTACGAATGTCCTAAACAGAGTCAAACCATATGTTACGATACACAATCTCGACTAGAGGTTATCATTCCGGGTTTCAGTGCGGTTTTATTCAGTTTTGGTTATTTCGGTTATAAAAAAACTATAACATTCGGTTTTTATATTCGGTTTTTATATAAATTTGATTCATTAGAAACAGACCCATTTACATATTTCATATGCCCCAATTACATGATTAAAAAAACTTAATTTATATGTAAATTTTATAAATTTTAAGAGAAATTACAAAATACCTCCATAATAAATGTATCATAACAACATTATTCTCCACTTAAACTATTGTCCCTAATTAAAAATCATTCTAGCTCCGCCACTGGGTTCGGTTCAATTATTTTTTAGTTTGGTTCAATTTTTTATTATAAAAAACTATTTTTTTCAAAGAAACTATCGATTTTTTCAATTACTTTTTTTATCGGTTTAATTTAGTTCGGTTTCAGTTTTTTCAGGATTGGAGAAATCATAACCGTTCAATTTTTAAATCGGATTCAGTCCGGTTACGTTTATATCTTATTTAGTTCAGTTCGGTTAATATCCAAACTAGCCACCCCTGATCTCTACTAACCAGATTTTGGATCGCGATCTTTCTACTCTATCTGTACATATATTTTGTTTCCTGAGATATACAAAGATTGGCTTTATCACTTATGTATATATACATGTATTTGTATGAGGAATAAAGCAAAAGAGTGCAAATTTTCTTTCCCTTCGTCCTATGACAGACGGTCCAGAAGAAACTACCTACAAGAGATCGCCTCACCTCTTGGGGCATGACTATCCCTTCTACATGCCCTTTCTGTAATGTCGACGTGGAATCTCATGAGCATTTATTCTTCAAATACTCTTTTAGCCTTGATGAATGGACTCCTTCGGTTGGACGTTGCTAGTCGTCACCGTCGGAAGAGATTGGTGGTTGTATGCAATGGATTGAAGACAATTCCCATGGTCGGGATCGAGATGAGCTGAAACTCATGAAGCTATGTATGGAGCTAGCAGTATACGAGATATGGTGGGAGAGAAATAGTCGTATCTTCATGGGGATGATCAGAACTCATGCCGAAATTCACAGGAAAATTGACCGCACCGTGCGAGACAACCTACTTGCCCTGAAGGTATCCACTCGGAGAAACACTGACAACTCGTTGCTTGAATGTTGGTATCGTTTGACGCTAAACTGAGATAGAAAATTTAGTAGGCTTTTGCGAAACTTGGCTTGCTAGTATGGTACCAGAGCTACTATACCTCCGACTACCGCATCCTTCTTTGACCATTTTTTATCTTTTTGTTCGCTATGACAGTCAATCTTCCAATACTCCATTTGCAGTTATATTTGCACAATCTTATGTGTCTTTATTTCTCGACCCTTATTTGAACCCTCCTTTTCTACACACTGCTCGTATATCTAGTGTCTCTTTGATCTCTGAAAAATTGCTCAGTAAATCGAATAATAACATTTGGGCACATTCAATACTCAAGGCAGGCACTTAACGCCAAAAACAAACTTGGATGTGTTGATGGTTCTTTGCCGAAACCTTCACCAGATCATGTCGATCACAATCTTTGGTCTGATCACAATCCTTGGTGTGGTCGTCTCGACATGGTTAAATAATATTGTCTTCTGATATCTTTAGTGTTATTGTGTATTTCGAAAATATTTGGGATATATGGAAACAAAAACTAAAAACCAAAGACAAAAAATCAAAAAAAAAACTATCACCATTTAATGGCTTACTCTGCTATGTTATGCACATTAATTACATGGTCATTTAGGTTTGATTCATAACTAAACAAATCCTAACCATATAACACATACTCGAACTTAAATCGAATTCAATAATTTATAATTGTATCCAACTTTATTTATAAAAACGTAGATTAACTCATGCATTAATTAATCTAATTGAATGAATTGGATTTAAGGAAGTTTCATGAGTTAACCCTACATACATATTTTTTAAACATATGTTAATAGAGATGTCAAAATGGGTTAAACAACCCATTTAATCCTAAACCATTTAGGTTATTTGAATTAATGGAGTGGTTTAACCCAAACCAATAATAATATTAGTTGGATTAACTCAATTCATCCATTTAAACTCAATTAATCTATTTAGTCTAATTAATTTATTAATTAACACATCTATGATATTTCTATATGGATTTGATTCGATTCGATTTTCATTCGAATTCGATTTTTATAAGATTTTGTTCGATTGGAATTCGTTTTTTAAGGATATTGTTCGATTTGGTTTCAATTCAAATTTGGCTTTTAGAGGATTCCATTTGATTTAGACTCAATTCATATTGAGATTTTACATGAGATTTTGATCAATTCAGATTCGAACATAATTCGATTCTATTTCGATTTGTACATAGATTTCATTCGATTCGAATTCGATTTTTATATATGATTTCGTTCGATTCGAATTCAGTTTTTAAATATGATTTCGTTTGATTGGAATATTATTAGAATTGAGTCTTTATATATTCAAATCATTTAGACCTATTGTATAATGGCTTTAATGAGTTTATTGGATAAACTCATTCAACCCATAACTCAAATCAGTTAAACCCTTCAAATACATTTAATAAAATGAACTCAAATTGAATTTAATCATAAATTACTATTACTGGGTTAGATTGGATTAATCCATTTAACCCAATTCAATTAACATCTATAATTGTTAACGATAACACAACCCATTAAATCATATATAATCCAAATGGGTTAGAATGAAGTAGGTTGGATTATCCAGTTTTACTTCTCTATCAAAGAGTTGTGATCTAAGTAGAAGGAATGCGAAATGCACCTCGAACCATCTCCGAACTCTTTTAAGTGCAAGAAAACCATCCTGAAAAACTCGGATTTCTATCAGATTGGTATCAGAATCTAACCCCAGAACGAAACTATGAAAAGCTTGTTTAAAGTCTTTAGACATGGAAACGAGAAGGATCGATCGAGAGAAATGTCAGTGCAAGGATTGGCCGAAAGTCGTGGTAGCCAAACAAGCCGAAAATTTATGGCAGGGAAATCGAATGTCTTGGTCGAGGCTATGGCGGTTGCGGTCATTTGTTGATTTGATGCAAGAGGTGAGACTAGATTTGGAGACAGTCGAGGGGCCGACCGATTGGATCAGCCTAGTGGTATGAAGGGTATGTCATCGAGGCGACAACACACTTCCGTCGGGCAAGACAATGATCGAAGTGGAAAAGTAGACGAGGTTTATCACACCCGAAAATGGAAAGTCGACGACCGACATCAAGGGGGGAAATTCTATCCCAACCCGAGAAAACCGCCAAAATTGAGAGGGGTGGCAAAGCCGATCACAGTTGCTGAGGATGAGAATTCGACGACAGGCAGCGAGGGTATTATCCCACGCTGGGAAATCGGCCGAAAAAACGAGGAAGAAAATCGACTTCGGGAGTTTTAACGGGAAGAGGAAGAGGAGAGCTCAGAAACGAAGAGTGAGGCCACGTGAGAAAAGGCACAAGTGAAAATTCAAATGCTAGTCTTCTAACCTTCACCCGGAGAAGAAGGTGAATTACGGGAAAATATCGAATATTTGATACTTCCTTCTTGTACTTGTATGGGTCAAAACATGAGGTTCACAAAAAAAGACAAGATGCCATCCAAATTTTGTTCTAGTTACGACGACCTATATACCGTTTCTTTTAGTTCCCTATGACTGACAAAATCTCAGGTTTCATGGAATATGATGCTGAGTGAGGTCCTCAAATGCTATATGAATCTGTGCAAGAAAAGCCTGACAAAATTTGACTTACAGTAAAACGAATCGGAATTACCTGTAATGTCGAGAAATCTCCAAAAACCTAATGGCCTTTCACCCAGCGGAGAAATCATCGTTGTGATCGTCATCGCTGTCAATGCGGTCACCCGAAGATTTTGTAAGTGATCTCATACGTTTAATGAGGAACACATTGTGGTAGTAACTGAGTAGTGTCTTTTTACTTTTGGTCGGAAACGCCTTTGAAACAATCCCCCAGAAACCTTTACTGCCTGGCAATGGATTCCTTTCCACAAGATGCTCGAACTTGTGTTCTTCTCTGGCTGTCCATGATTTCGATATGGCTTCACCCATCTTGTCAAATTTCCATGTATAGAAAACGGAACCAAGATCTGCTCTTAAAAGTTCTCGTGCTTCTCTCGTGTGTTTTGTGATGCAAATGGTTGATCCAGGGGAAGTGCAAGAACAAGAATTGGGTCTTCCTTTCCCGACTTCTCTCTTGACGGTTTTCTTCCTCAGGCTATATGTCGGCCAAACATCAATCCCCAACAATCTTAGAGTTTTGGAGTCGGCAGGGCTACCGTAAAATTTTCCCTTTTTGGTTGACCCAATCCAGTCTGGAATTTTCGCTTGGAATCCAGGGGCAACAGGAATAACTGGTCTCTTGATACCTTCATTCTCACCAGACAGTAACTCGAGAAATTTCTGTCTGGAACTCGAATTATCTTGGACAGTCTTGTCAGGAACATCCTCGACAACCATGCCTTTGTGATTTGATGCGTTTGAGACATCCCCAGTTTGGGGTGAGCATGGATCATGAAGCTTCAGTTTCCTGCCTTCCTTCTGGAAATTTGAATCACCAGATTTCTCCGTAGTTCCAGAAGCCGTAGAGGCTTCACCATCACTCCAAGCCAGTTCACGTTTCCGTTTCTTCTGGAAAAAGAGAGAGAGAAACAAGATGCTTAAACGAGGTTGAAAGCAGATAAATCCAACCATGATGCAAGAAAAACATAAAGCAGAAAGCAGCTATTCATTGACGTACTAACTAAAGCAAACATCATGTGTAAAAATCAAACTATAGCTGGTTTACGAGAACAGAACATCAAAGTAGAAACTGTAGGTATCGTCACAACTTCATCAACAACATGTTTTCCTTCAATACACTCAACAGTAAACAAGCTTGAGGTACCATCAAAGATTGTAACCTGTTATGCTCGCATTATATTACCGAATACAAATAGGTGTTAAATACAATTTGTTCTACTGCTCACTTCTGCATCGATATGTAGTCCGAATGCATCAGATAATAAAACAAGGAAAGAGTCGACAGTTAGCATTTCCGGCCATGGAGCGTCCGACTTAACAACAGCTGGTCCGACTCCATCCGTGTTTCCCTACCGTGGGGTTGCAATGCCAATCCTCTCAACCAAGCTAACAAACCTCTGTTAGTTATGAATATAGATGGTAAAGTATCATGGCTAGTAATTTCTCTCTTAGGAAAAGTTGGATCTGTCCCCCCATTATCACCATTGCTTCTGTGGAGATCCATAACCATTTACGAGGGATAAAGGGATGTGTTCCTCGGATTCAGGTCTGAAAAAAAAAAAGCGTAGAAGGGTCAGATTCTATCTGAAAATGCTGTGAAGCCCTCAACCATACAGGGATCTTGGAATTACCATTGTCTAAAAGTGCAAAACAATAAAAGGTTCCTAAAGGAACAAAATGCAAGAATCAGACAATAACCTCTCTGATAAAGTGAGCCGCCTTTATACGACCTAAAGAAACGCTTATGTCTGATCCTAGTCGACGAAGAACACAAATTCAAAGCCCTAGGTTTCATCAAATCATCGTTGTTTCCGTTTGGCGGAATCTCGTCCAGGCGCGAAAACACTTTCTCGATAGGAATGAGATCCCCTAGATTCCATGATATTCAAACAGAAGAGTCTACGTTGAACATTTGATCGAAGAACGTAAAAAAACCTAACGCAAGAACGTAGAATCAACATCAACGAACGAACATTCAAGACAGAAATCGAAACTCCTTCAATTTCGACATAGATACTCCCAATATTCGATCATTCTCCTTGAAAACAAGCAGAATCTCGGGGAACAGAAACCATGAAACCTTATACATATAAATAAAGCTTTATCTCAACGAACAACATCTGAGACATCCCGATGAATTCGAAGCCGCGATTTCAAAAACAAATCCGAACTCCGAACAAAAAAACACAAGTACGAGTTTCGTGAAAGTACCTCGGTAGGGGAACAACGGATGTCCGAGACGATCAGGAAGATGTTTCCCGGCGGCCTACACCACCGGCGACCGCCGTAGACGGTGGCGAGCCAGGCGGTGGAAGGGATGGGAGGGTACGTGAAATGAGGCTGATTAAAGCTCTGAGCGGGAAATGGGCTTTGGCACCTGGATCCTATCTCTGTTCTCATGGGCTTTTATATAGTGACTCGCCTAATCCAATTTATAGAAAGAAGGATGCAATGCAATTACCTGCAGAATTACAAATCTATAAATTATAAAAATCTCCCAAAAGCATATTATTAAAATAGCTAACATTCACTGATTACAAACACATACTCGAGCACAATATTTGATGGATACTTGCTGGATATAGATATTCTAATTACCATTATATACCAATTTATCTGATACTTATCGTTAAAAATCGTTATAATTTTTGTGGATAATTAATTAATTAAATGAACCCAAATGATTGAATATCACAAATAACATATTTTATAACCTTTTTTTTTTAATGAATTTCCATGGTATAAAAGATGGTGTGATGGGGATGAAAGTAACTTGATCATCGATAGGGCTTCCGCAAAGCAAATGGCTATAGACTATTCGAGAGCTTCAAATATTTTGTCGGAAATTCCGACCAGTCGCCGGAGATAATTCTGGGATTCCGGCACAAACAAACCGACAACTAGAACAGCTGCTAAAACCCTAAAACATGCCCAGAAAATGAGATCGAACGGTCGGCGACAGCTTTCCCATGGTCGAGTTCCCCAAGTCTCTGTCGCCCAAACGCGTTCTCAAGCTCTTGAAATCGGAGAAGAACCCGCGTGTTGCGCTCTCTATCTTCGACTCGGCGACTCGCCATTCAGGCTATGCCCACTCCTCCGCCGTCTTCCACCATATTCTCCGGCGTCTTGCGGAGGCTCGTATGGTGGGCCACGTGGCTGGGATCGTCGAGCTCATTCGTACCCAAGATTGCAAGTGCCCTGAAGATGTTGCCTTGACGGTTATCAAAATCTACGCCAAAAACTCCATGCCCGATCAAGCTCTGGATGCTTTCCGACGGATGAGCGAGATTTTCGGGTGCGAACCCGGAATACGATCGTACAATTCTCTTCTCAATGCATTCGTGGTGGCGAAACAGTGGGATAAAGCCGAATCCTTCTTGGCCTATTTTGAAACGGCGGGTTTGGCGCCGAATTTGCAAACTTATAATGTTTTGATTAAGATTTCGTGTAAGAAACAGCAGTTCGAGAAAGCAAGGGGCTTGCTGGATTGGATGTGGAAAGAGGGGTTGGAACCGGATGTGTATAGTTACAGTACCCTGATTGGCGAACTAGCAAAAGATGGGAACTTGGACGATGCACTAGAAGTGTTCGATGAAATGTCTGACCGAGGGGTGGCAGCTGATGTTGCCTGTTATAATATGTTGATTGATGCGTTACTGAAGAAGAAAGAGTATGATAGAGCCATGGAGTTATGGGGGAATCTGCTGGAAGACTCTTCGGTCTATCCAAATGTTACCACTTACAACATCATGATTAATGGTTTGGGCAAATGCGGGAAATTTGATGATTGCTTCAAGATTTGGGAAAGAATGAGACTGAACGAGCGTGAAAAAGATTTGTTTACATGTAGTAGTTTGATACATGGGCTATGTGATGCAGGGCATGTTGATAAGGCTGAAATTGTGTTCAGAGAGTTGGCTGACAGCAAAGCCTTTGTTGATGTTGTTACTTATAATACGATGCTTGGTGGGTTTTTCCGTGCTGGTAAAATTAAAGAGTGTTTGGAGTTATGGGAAGTTATGGAGAAGGGGAGTTCGGTTAACATTGTGAGTTATAACATATTGATCAGAGGGTTATTAGAGCATGGGAAAATCAATGAGGCAGTATTGATCTGGAAGCTTATGCCCACAAAGGGCTATACTGCTGATTCCACGACTTATGGCGCTTTAATTCATGGGTTATGTGCAAATGGATATATAAACAAAGCTTTGGGAATAATGAGAGGTGTCGAAACAGGAGGTGGTAATATGGGTGCCTATGCATATTCGGCTTTGGTAGACAGTTTGTTCAAAGAAAGAAGATTAGAAGAAGTAGCAACTTTGGTAAAAGATATAAGTAAGCATGGTGCTGAACTGAATTCTCATGTTTACAACGCAATTATTGGTGGCTTAATCCGTAATTCGAGACTTGGTGATGCTGTCCTTTTGCTCAGAGAAATGGCAAGAAATGGAGTTCCACCAACTGTTGTTTCTTACAACATTCTCATTCACGGACTATGTAAAGCAGGAAAGTTTGGTGAAGCATCTTCTATTGTGAAAGAAATGCTTGAAAATGGATGGAAACCAGATCTGGTTACGTATAGTATACTGTTGGATGGTCTTTGTCAGGACAGGAAGCTCGAAGTGGCCCAAAACTTATGGCACCAATTTCTCGGAACAGGTCTGAGACCAGATGTGGCTATGCATAACATCCTAATTCATGGGCTTTGCTCAGCTGGCAAACTTGATGATGCAACTAATGTCTTTGCGAGTATGAGGGAACGGGATTGCATTCCAAATCTCGTAACATACAATACATTGATGGAGGGATTTTACAAAACTAGAGACATTGATTCAGCGACGGTAATTTGGGGTTACATGCACAAGATCGGGCTGAAACCAGATATCATTTCCTACAACATCGCATTGAAAGGGCTGTGTATGTGTGGTAGAATATCATATGCTATCAAATTCTTTGATGATGCTTTGAACCATGGAATTCTTCCAACTGCAGTGACGTGGAACATACTTGTTAGAGCAGTTGTGATTTTGAATCACGGGCATGCTGTTTGAACATATTGCCTGCATATCTGAATGTTCGTCTTCCCCGGGTTTGAATTGACTCTAGATTCGATCTCTGGCAAGAAAGGCAATCAACCTTCGGCCTTAAGGTATAATGCTCTTCCCTGCTATATCGATATACATTGTATGTTCATTTTTGGACTATGCATACTTTTCTTATCCAGCAAATTCTTCAGTATTTTCAGATGTGGGTACTAACTACTAACCCATGACCTTCTATTCCAGAGATGGTCCTTGGAACAACTGGAAGAAGTTACGAGGAGAATCATGATTTATATCACAAGCTGCAAGATCATCGATCGCTTTACAATTAGGTAAATCTACCACAGCGAGTAAGAACGACAAAGTTTCGATCTTTTCACAATTTAATCTCAACCCATGTCTCTTTCAACTCGTTACAGATACAAAACCCTTGAGCTTGCTTCGTCGAGGTCTTTCATGGCGTCCCTCTCCAATCTTATAAAAACTCAGCTTTGGCATATTCTGCATAGTTTGTAGATAAGCTGACAGTTCGTCCAAGAAATCCGTGAGATGGACCTTGGAAGCTTTGAAGCATGGCAATGGGGGCGAGGAGTTATTGCTTGAAAGTATCACACCCCGAGCCCTCGGGTTTTGAAGCACCAGAATCTGAATCACCGGGTTTGGGGAGGCAGATAAATTAGGTTGTTGAAGTTTGAGTTTCTTCTTGTACTGAATAAACAATGGAAGTTTGGTGTTAAGGTTATCTGAATTGTTTCTAGGACAGGATTGATTACAGAAACAGAACAACCTCTCAGTTCCTCTATTCTAAGCATTACCCAAAACAATTTGAAATTTGGAAGATTTGCATGAAAGACCCTTCTTTTAACATGTTATTGCAGATTCAGGCTTCTATTTTTCAATTTCTTGACTTTTATTGGAAGTGCTCAAGTTACAGGTACTGGCAGCAATGGAAGTGATTCTTTTCGAATTATGGAGACATGGAAGAAGTCTCTCTCTTGCCCAACGGCAACCCCTGTCTGCTACAAATCAACATATGACATTTACTTCACCCTGTCTGATGTCCATGTGAGTCATATGTAAAAAGCCACGTAACCAAAAAGAGATTAAATTAAAAATAACGTCGTTCCATATTTTTTCCATCTTCTTAAACGAAGTTGTTCTTTGCCCATCAATCAAACTACATGTAACAATATGTAAATATTTCTACTATATACCAGATCACCGGATTCCATACATGAGAATGAGATAACCCAAGGTCTAAACCAATACACACACACACACACACATATATATATATATGCCCAAAATCAGCTAAAATCCCATAATATCATCATACAAGAGCAGCTTGCATGAACAAATCGACAAATAACAACAACAACTATTCACCCAACATCATCATTCTTCTTCTGCTTCTTCTTCTTTTACTGTCATTCTACACGTTAACTTCAGGAGCCGGAAAGAGTCGTTTGACCAGCCAATGAATCGGTCGGAGAAGCTGAGCTCTCTTCTTCCTCCAGAACCATATGGCTGCACTGTACTGCTCGTTCCTTATCTTTCTAGTTGCAGCCCTCCAATCATATTTCTCCATCTCCTCCCGAGCCGCTTTCCCAACTATCTCCCTCTTTTCAGGTTCATCCAATAGAGCCTTCAGCTTGCTCACGCAATCCTCAACGTCCCCGGGATTGAACAGAAACCCGGTTTTACCTTCCTAAAATGTTAACCAGAACACAATGCAAAAAAATGCATCTTTCACAATGAATCAGGTATTCTTCCACACGTCGATAACTTCTGATGTGTAACCATATAAGGGCATTATTCAATTCACTGACCTGTTCTTCAGGGATGATGTCGGGGATTCCACCAGCACGAGCCGCCACTACAGGGAGTCCTGAGGACATTGCCTCCAACACTACAAGACCTAACGTTTCTGACTCGGATGGCATCACAAACACATCTCCGCTTGCATAAGCTTGTGAGAGCTCTTCGCCTTGTAGCATCCCCGTGAAAACTGCTGGCATATCAGCAAACATCTTCTCTAGTTCCTCCCTACGAACAAAATGGATTATCATCTATCATATGAACAGCTAAGCTTAAAAATAAACTTTTTTTAAGAGTAATAATACCTATATGGTCCATCTCCAATGAAAGCAATCCGAGCCTCTGGCAATCTGTCCATTATGCTGCACACAATTTTTTTTTTTCGATTTTATATCTCGCCAAATCTAAAAAAAAATACAGGTTCTAAGCATGAAATATAGTTCATTAAACTGTGTCTGAGAATCAAATTTGAAGAGATCTTCTAAGTTCTAACGTGTTGTGTTACAAACGTTTACTCAGGACATTAGTTTGGGATTTTGCTAAATGGAACGACAAAAATAGTTTGCATAGAAACAACATTGAAAATGTAGAAGAATCGGGTAAATAATCACTACCCCTTTAGGAAATCCAAACTTTTCTCCACACCAAGACGGCCAACATGGACTACCAGTGGTTTTTCTGGTTCGCCGTTACTGTTGAATACCAAAGCATCAGCAATATCAATATATATATATATATATATATGCATTTGAGAATAGTATATACAAAAGTGTGTAAATTGCATCTAAATAAGGGTTTCCACCTCAGTCTTAAACGCATATCATGGGAGCGGAAACGGGGATGAAAGCTTTCAGAATCAACACCCTTATTCCAAAGACGGAGCTGATTAGCTGCAAATATGAGAAGAAGTCAGGTTAGGACAGTGGGGTATTATCACAGATCAGATCGAGAATCAAAGAGCTGAAAATTCAGAAATAAAAGAAAGAATACGGTATCGCTATATATAACGTATCTATCTTCACCTGCTGTTGCACCAGCTGCTAGAAGATCTTTTCCAATGGCAGCTGAGGGAACTAATGTAAGATCAGCAGCTCTGTGAAGGAATCCTGACAATGTTATCCGAGTTCAGTAACATACCAGACAACACAAAACAACAATTTGGACTCTAGGAGGATATTATACGTACTTATTATCGACCACATGGGTTTAACCAGCCAACTAAACGTGTATCTTGGGATGTATCTGCAGATTAAAACAAAAAGCTTTTAGCAGCTGCTTATGGGTAATAAATACTTCAGTTCCATTAATTGAAAACCTCCATGGTATATTATTGTAAAAGAGACAGTAATGAATTTGAAGAAGAGCAACTTCATGAGGTAAATGAGAAACTAACACGGGCACGTGTGTGTGGTAAGACATCACTAATGGTACACACAGCATTTTTGCTATTGCCAGAGCACCGAAAACCTGAAAGGTAGTTAAAAGATGATAGTACTTTAGTAGCTAATTTTCTCTTCATTAGTTATCAATGTTAAAGGTCTATCTTCTCAAAAGGCTTTACCATTATCCCTGGAGATGAAGCGTGTATTATATCAGGCTTAAACCGGGCGATTTCCGAGATTATTCTAGGACTAAGCGCAAGAGAGAGAGGCACCTTTTGGTACCATGGACATGGGAAACTGCAGGACAGGAAAAAAAATCAAGATACACAGTCAACTCTAATGGAGGATATCAAATTTACATGACAAAACCCATGAACATACAGACAGAATCCAAGTGAAGGGAAAACCAAGCAGAGCATATCAATTTACATGACGAACCAATGAAAATACAGACAGAATCCAAGGAAAGGGGAAACCGTTCAAAGCAAGAGTTTTTAGAGTTTGCAATATGTTACTAACCTCCTTGACCCAATGACTTTTGCTCCATAGAACTCCTGGGGAACACCTTCATGTGTCGTCACAACAATAACCTACGCCAGAAAAGAACATTTTCCCGGGAAAAAAAGGGAGGGAGCACAGTTAGTTTAGTGAAAATTAGATACATGTTTGGCTCACAAGTCACAAGCAAATCAGAGGATTACCTCGTCTCCCATTTCACGTAGATACTTTATAAAATTCTGGAATCTGTTTTTGTATCCGGAGACATACCTGAGAGGTTTAAGAGAAAGCGCTGCCATTAATGGAGACACAGACGCAGCAACAATAAAATCCATGAGTCTATACAAACTCTTAAGGGATAAACAAAAACTAAAACAATCTTGAAAATATCGAAGACCACTGACCCAACTCTTCCCTCGTCTCAAATTTGAAACTTTGAACTATTGAATTTAAACGAACAAGCATTGCCAGCATTCGCAATTGATGTAAAATACAGATCCAGAAAGAGAAAATTTCCCATTAAAAACGTCAGATACCGACAGCCAAAACAAAGATCAACGATACGCACAGAACCTGGCACAAGTCCCTTCACTCAGGCATTTCCTCGAACACGAAATAGCTAAAGCAATTCTGAAGAAGCGAATCTGGAGAAGCTTACGAAAAGGGCGAAGGCTCGACAAAGAGAGCGATTCTCCTCGGCCTGGAGACCGTCTCTGAGTCGAGAAGAGGAGCCTCAATCTCCTCATTCTGATCTTCCCTAACCTCGGTGATCGTCATATCGTTTGACCCAGAAGCAGAAACCACTTCCCGCCCAATCCCTTCGCCAAAGACCCTGCCTTTCTTGCGAGGCAAGCTAATTGGCAACCTCGGGCAAGGCTTGGAACACGAAAACGCAACAGAAACAGGAGAGTTGACGAAAGAACACCTGGGAGAACAAGAAGCCGATGAAAAAGAAGAAGAAGTGGTCGTCGTGCTAGGAAGAAGAGGAGGAGAGAGAGAGTGATTTATAGAGAGAGAAGAAAGGGTCATGATTTTTGCAGCATAAATTATGCGATGGGATCTCCGATAATTCGATGAAAAACACCAAAGAGGCAGAGAAAAAATATCCGAATTTTTTTTTTCCCAGTTTCGTTTGAAGGAATCTGGGGAAGAAGAAACAGTAAAATAAAAAAGGGATATTCGATTTGAGAGGTATCAGTTCCAAGGGTTTTGAGCATATGCTTGTTTTGCTACTCTCCCCATGGATGATGATGGCGACGACGACGACTGGTCCCTTTTTTTTGTTTTTTTTTTTAAATATATATTTTATTATCAAATCTTTTTAAGTTTCTTAATTTCCTCCCTCATTTCCATTTTTGTAAAGAATGTAGTAGAAAAGCATGATATAAACCATAGAAATTTAATTTGATATGCAAAAAAATTAAATTAATTAATAGAATTGTCCCATGAGTCTCACATTGTGGGTACCATTCATTAATGAGACCAAACTTGGGGAAAAAAAAAACAAACAGCCCACTTGCCGTGTCACAAATCACGTGCTTAATATTATAGTGGGTAATTTATAAATTGGATTTGATTGAGACATAATTTATATATTATTGCATCCCTTTTAATTGAGTTTTGATCCGTCCACAATTACGTGACTAAATGACTGTCCAAAATCAAATGTTACAATTCAATTCGTGATCGATTTTTTATAACTAGATGATCCTTGACATCATCAGATTGACCTTATAAGAAATAACTTGTATGTAATTTGGTATTCTTGTATGATATGTATATATTAAATAAAATCATAATATAGAATTCGCTTGATGATTATTCGGTCAATACGTTTTCTTCTGCCGTAATTAATTGCCAAATAAGCAATTACAGATAATAACTTCAAATAGATCGATTACTTCTAATGCGTGACTTTCTTGTTGTTTCGCTTGCAAACGAATCGATGTAATAATATTCCATTAGATCAACACGCCAAACCTTAAATCTGTTTCTATTCTTATATATAAAGAGGCATATATATATATATATATGTATGTATGTATATGTGTGGTCATAGAGATGCTAATAATTAACATATATATATATATAGAGAGAGAGGGGCGGACGCAAGACACGACGAATGTGGCACATGCCCCCAGTAATTTTCATAAAAACATATTAAATTTCTTTATAAAATTTTAAATATATTTACTAAATAACCCCATATAAAATATTAAAATTAGATTGTGCCCTTTTCTAAATATTTCTCTAGCTCCGCCCATGTGTGTATATATATATATACACACACTAACCTAAATTCGGTAAAAAAAAACTACATTTATCGATATGATTTATGGAGAAAAAAAACAAGTGTATAAATATACACATGTTGAGAGGCATGGAAGTATATTCATATAGGATATTCTTTTTTATGCCATTGCATGTGGAAGGTCCATTTAAAATTTAGTTACACAAAAAAAAACAAAGATATAGTTTAATATTATAAAAAAAATAATCAATCTCTTTGCTTAATTGGGTATTTGAAATTTGACAGCGGTTTCCTTCTTCATGTATCCAACCTACTCTTACAATTTGTGAATATTTATTCCACTATTAGTCTGTAGGAAATTTTTATTTTTATTTCGTTATTACATCATCCAAAAACCATAAAATCCAATGTATTATTTAATATGTATGTTCAGTTGTTTATACAAGTGATTTTCATCATAATAAATATATTAAAATAACACATTGATTAAATGGGCTATGTATCCAAGGTGATAATTGTGGCCCGTTAAATAGAAAGTCATAGTATTGAGTCACTATCAGTTAGCAAATTTTCTCGGCCCATTGACCTATTATTAGAGCAATAGCCCAACACAAAATTAAATATGTAAAAGTAAATATCTTGGTCCAGAAAATAAAATAACATAAAACTGATGTTTTAATTTTATGTGACAACAAACATTTTCTAAATTTCTGTAACTATTGCGATTAATATACAAAATTTGACAGTAAGATTCCAATACTTATATATTTGGAGTATAAATATTCAGCTTGACACAAATAGTTCAAGAGTTTCAAACATGATTTCAATATTTAGTCTCTTATAAATATATGTAAAATATGCTTACATACATATATATGTATATATGCGAGAAAGAGAATATGTTTGAATTTGTGAAAGTGTGGTATTGGCGTGAATAATGGGACACCCATTTCATTTTCTCTTCTTTTCATTTTGTCCACCTTTTTCATCACCGGTTTGACCCTCCATATATATATATATCGGTATTCACTATGGGAGCATTACACAGTTTTAATCAATATTTTATAAAATTAATACAGAAATTAAAATTTTTTAATTACACAAATGGGGCCTATGACCCATCTACACACTAGATAATTTATTTAATGAAGTGGTGGGAATCATTGTAATTTCATTTATAACATTTTAAGGGCGGAAAAAATCGAAGCATACAATACAATTGATATATATATATAATATATATATATATGTGTATATATATACACGCAACGTTGTAAAAAATTGACAAAAGAGATGACATGATGCCAAGGAAAGGGAAACATGGGGTAAGACCCTAACAAAAGCAAAGCTGACAGGAAGGGAATCTAATTGATTTTGTCTCACTCTGTTCCAAATTATTTATTTTCTTTTCATATCGTTACAATTTTAAAACTTTATAATAACCCAAAGTTTTTATTTTACCTCTCTTCTCTTTTTGACCAACAGAGAACTGCAAAAATAAAATGTAATTCTCTAAATAATTTTGGTGCGTCACTCATACGATAATAATGGTTCGGCAATGAAAAGACGTTGATCCTTCAAGTGTGGTTGCTCATTCCAAGAAGAAACAGTTACCCTTTTTTTCTATAAGACCCCTATTGTTTGCGTTTTTTCAATTTTTGCCCCACCTTTTTGTAAACTTCCTCCAAACTCCTCTCCCATAAATACTCTTCAAACCCTCTCACGTAGCATTTGTTTCTCTGTAGTCCCTTGCTCTAGTGCCTCTCTCTCTCTCACACATACGCACAGACACAAACACGGGAATATATATATATAACACAGATACTCCGTATACTGATTAACACAGTTTTTAACAGGACAATGTCAAGAAAATCATGCAAAAGAGTGAGCTTTAGTCCCGACCCAGAAGCGACGGAGGAACCAATCTTCCCGAAACATGGGGAATTCAGCTGTCAAAGGCAAGGCCGGAGAAGGGTCGTTGTCGGATTTCTAAGTTTTGGCCTTAGGAGATCGCCGGCCAGAAGGATGCTTAGACGCCTCGGCGCCAGAGTCGTCAAAACGCTGCGTTTTATATCCTCAGGGAAAGGGAAAACGACGTCTTCTTTCTCGTCACGGAAGGTCTCGTCGGCGTCTTCGTCTGCGCACTTGACGAGGTCGAAGTCCCTGGCTGAGTCAGAGTCTCACCGAGCAGAAGCCATTGAAGACTGTATCGAGTTCTTGAACTCTTCTTCGTCTCTGTCGAGATCAAACTCTGTCTCCACGTGCTCCTGTTAGTTGAGTACTTGATACGATTCGCCCTGTGAATTCTCGTGCTTCTTTTGTTAAGAGAGAAAATTGACAAGAACAAAAAAAAAAGAGATGCTTTAGATATCTGTAGAATTCTTAGTTGTGTTCTATCTTCTGCTTCCCCATTCACTGATCTTTTTTTTTTTTATAATATGTGATTGTTGTCATATTCGAACTCTGTGGATACTTTGCTTCCACAACGACTAAAACACCAACTCCTGACCCTATTCACTAAAACACTATCATGTTCTTGATTTTGTTTTGTTTTCATAATTCAAGGTGATGATCATGTGAAGCATAAGAGCCACTTGATTTCACAAATATTCGAATCTATTTCCATACAAATTATATATATATATATATATATATA